AGTTCACTGTTGTTTTTCTTTACCTTTGAAGTCTATTTTTTGTAAACATAAATGTAGTAGAGTAACTTCTTCTTCAATCTGCTAATAAAATCTTTCTTTTCTCACCTAAAATAATATTTATTTTTAATATATTCCAACGAAAATTACTAATGCTCGCAATATTAAGAAAATTCCTAAGTAGATTAATTATGGTCAGCAAAAAAACTAAATAAACTATATTGGATTCGTATTATTTTATATACCAAGACTCTGATTGGGATGGGATAGAATCGAACGGAAAAAAATCGTCCCATGAGATGAGCCATCGTGAACTTTCTTATGTGGGATGAGACTGTCCTCAAAGTTTTCTGTTCCCTATGAAACTTCATGCTCGTTAAATATTGTCATATAATGACAATATTTCTATTGTTATATTTCTTTTTGTTTTCCTTCTGTTCTTTGACTTCGTCTTATGAGTCATCACGATATATAAATGTCGTATCGAAGTTATACCGGTCGACGAAAGCTATACTTTTGATAGAGAAAATTGCCGCAGTTATAGATTCGATTAGAAAATTTGTCGAAATTACTTCAGTTGAACTAAATATCAAATAAATATCAATTAGTTAGTGGTATTAAAAACAATCTGTAAAATTATAGTTCATTTTTCATTTTAAAAAACATTTTATCTTTTTTTTTACGAAAAAGTGTGAAAGAAAGTTTCAGAAAAATAAAACATTACTATTTTTTAATAGTAGTTTATATAATTATGAATCTACTTTTATAGTACCTAGGTCTATAACTAATGAAAGAGATATCTAGAATACTATGTCATGATTTAAACAATACTTTATAATAATGACAAAAAACTCTAAGTATAAAGAAGAGGTTAAATGCTTAGCAGGGTCACACTGACATTGAGTCAAGCAAAGACTTTACTAGGCTAGGTTTTTTAATACCGCATTTCAGTATTATCTGCTATCAGTTCAATTTAAATTCTACCAGTGACGCTAATGTCAAAGAAGAGTATATTGGACAAACATTATACGAAAAGTGATAGACAAAGCAGTAAGACCAACTTGTGACTAAGGAACACGATCGCTGAGATATTATACAGATTTATATTTTGAAATTTGCTATTTATATTGAAATATTCTGATCTGTTTTGGAGCATATTGCATATTTTCACTGTTTTAGAGAAAAACAAAAATCAGAAGTATGATTGCTGTATCACGAGGTAGCTTTTTTTCGTCATAATATTCTCTTTGTTTTTTTCATCGTTACTCATGCATTTTATGTCAAAACTAAAACGAAAGTTCACAATAAAAAATAGCAAACATCTCAGAGTAATGTTATAAGAGTTTTTCTAATTCAACAGCTATATGTTACTTAAATCAGGGCATAGTATTCTAGAGATCTCTTTCATTAGTTACAGACCTAGGTGCCATAAAACTAGATTCATAATTATATAAACTATTATTAAAAAAAAAGTAATGCTTGATTTTTTTTTAATAATTTCTTTCACATTTATTCGTAAAAAAAACGATAAAATATTTTTATAATGAAAAATAAACCATAATTTTAACGATTGTTTTTAATATCATCAACTAATGGATATTTATTTGATACTTAGTTTAACGGAAGTAACTTCATCGACCGATATAACTTCAATACGGCATAAATATACAAATCAATGTATATGTTGTGTTTTTTTTTGAAAAGTTGTTATTACTCTTATTCGTTTCTTTTCATTTATATTGTTTTCTGTTTTTGTTTTTTTAATTAAGCAATTGAAATGCGTGATAAATATCAGAAAAAAAAAATTTCTGAACACATCTATCGTTTCGATTAATACTATCAAATTTGACATCATTTCATAATTTTATCATTGCCAAGTTCACATATCATCGACAAAGATATCTATTTTGAAGATATTGGATTATTCTTAATAAAAACAAAAAGATTATTGTGAAAGATGTTTGTTCCGTGAAATCTCATCGGATATTTGCTGCATTCCATGGGATAGAATGGGATATCTCTCGTCTCATGGAACGATTTTTTTCTTTCTATCTCATCCCCGATAGAACATTGTTTTTTATAATATGAATAATATATATATATATAAATATAGATTTCTATTTATTCGTATATACCACGCTCAATACAATTTTTCACCTGATAATTATGAAAAATTGTTACCATTAGTCAAGCCAGAACAATTAGTTTACTGTTCAAAATAATAATCTATAAAATATATATATATAGAGAGAGTATAATTATAATAATGAATACATAATTGATTAGTTGGCGGCGATGTTGTAGCACTTTCATGTGTAATAATTAACATTTTTTACTGAATAATAGCATGGCAGTGTTTGTTAAGAACTTCTAAATGTATTTTATTACGTTAACAACAGATGAAAAGTGGTATACAACATGATATACATTCATCTACGTAAATTATAGGTTTATCAGCCTTCTTTCAGTTGTGAAATTTCTTGTGAATATATTTCTCTCAGTAAAATAAACCAAAACTACATTTAAATTTAATATTTAAAAAAATTCATTAATTATATCAAGAGTGACGCAAGTCGTGATGACGTTGTTTCATAAGAATACAAAGGTTAATACTTCTTCTTATGCAACAGTAATGCTTATCAGAATGTGCAGAATTCAACTCCCACGAAAAGTATGACCTTTTCCTGTCTCGTTAGATACTTGTTAGCATATTATTTACTCCACACAAGAAACAATTGATTATGAAAATATTAAATGTATAAAAAAGTTAATTGGAATAATTAGTTTGAGTTTTTTTAAATATTACGATTGACAAATTTCTCTCTACTTTATTAAGCATTTTAAAATGAAAAACGACTGAAAGAAATAATTCTTAATAATACAAAAGTGTATTATTCATCGTAATAGAAATCATGACAAATAATTTTTTTTTAATCTGTCGAAGGATTATATGCAATGATTTATTAAAATAGTGTCTTGTCACATTCAATAATTAGAATAGAACATTTAAAACAAAACGATTCCTGATAAATTTATAACAAAAAACTTATTCAGTGTTTTAATAGCGGTTGAAAAAAATCCAAATCTTCCAAAAGATATGAAACAGGCATCTATCGTTCATAATGACATAGGTCTATGATATGATCAAGAAAATATGAAATGTTATCTTTCTGTAGACTATATAAGTGTACCTTGAAATAACTATCTCAAATAGACTTTAGGCATTATTATAATCTGTTATTTGTGTGTCCTGAAAAACATGACTTTATCAGGATTATAATTTTTTATATAACAGTTATTAATAATGGTAATTATCAGAAAGAAGTTGTTCTCTATCTCAGTGGTGGATTTAGAGGAGGTCACTGAAGATGAATGGCTCTTCCTTCCAAAATACTTTTTGTTTTTTCTCAACAGTAAATTACCCAAAATGAACCGATACGATCTCTAATAGACTTCAAAACACGTTTTGTGCCAAAAATTACCAGTTTTACCCATTCTTTAATATTCTATCTGAGAGGATTTATACTAAAATAATCTTTAGATAAATTTTGTAAGTCAATTTGGGAATCTACTAGTCCAAGTACAAAGATATCTATCACAATGAAAAAAATTGATCCTACATAGTTATTATCGAATTACCTCTGCTGCAGACATTATAAGACAATTACTTTAAAAAGCTCAATTTCTCGTTTATTATTTATATATTAAAAAAGAAGTAGTAGAAGAAAGCAACAAAAGTAATCTTAAAAGATATTAACATATCGATAAACAAAAATCTAGTCAGTGATCTATTTGTTGAAGAAAAGTTTTTACAATGTAAGAAATACGAAGCAAAACTCATTCTTCTGACACATATATATGTTCTATCTGACTGACAGTTTACAACATTAGCATATGTTCTATAGGATACCCATAGTATAATAATTTTCATTTGCACTATTTTCATGCATTATTTGTCTTGCTAGTAGTTATGATATCCACTTAGTTGTCACCAATTAAATCAGTTCTAGCAAAAAATAAAAGACCATAGATATTTTTTTTATTGACATTGTTGTTTGCACTCGAAGTTTTCCATTAGAAGTTCGAAAAAAAAATACCAATGCTGCCAGTATTGTCGTTAAAAATAGCTATAATCGATTGATTATGATTATAATAATTGCCTCCAGAGGTGCGCGAATACAAGTACAATTTGTAGTCTCAATTACTCATATACTTTCATAAATCAAATATGTACTCTGACTACCATATGTACTGGGAAAAAGTTTAGAATCGGTTGGGATGTACTCTCATGTGCAGTCATGTTTTGGGTCGAAAAATCTATAATTACTCGGTATGTACTCTCATATACTATCGAGTGTGGGTGTGGGTGTTGGTCTCCGTCTGAGAGAATATCCGTATCCTACGCTCATACCCATGCTCGATAGTACATGAGAATATATCCTCGCTGATTCTAAATTTATGGGAGTGATATTGATTCCAGAGTACATTTTGTACTCGTACTCGTGCAGCCCTCAATCATTGCCTATTGCAACTACAAATAATTCATCATGATTTCCAATAATGGTTTTTTTTTTACAACAGAAAAGTTCCATCACCATTATTTTAATCTAACAAGTTATTAGAAAAATATTTTCAAGTTTAGAATAATCATATTTTTTTAATATATAATATTGAGAATACGGAAGAATATAGTAAATAATAATGAATTACTTTTGTCAATATTTTAGTTAACTTTTTCTTGTTTCTTAAATGCTTTAAATTTATTTTTTTTATTTTTATTATTTATTAGAAAAAGAAAAGAAAAACTCACGCAAGACTTTTCGGTTTATCTTTTCTGAAGTGATATCAAGTTGAAAAACACCACTTCATCTGTATGAAGTGTATCCATGTCACCTTATTGTCGGTATGCAGTGGTCAACATAAGAAACGGTGGTAGTGTTTGCGTCTTTCGATTCCAGCTATAAACGATTGTAGGAAGTGTTTTCTAGTCGAATTCGAGTTATTTATTGCAAAGAATTCAAATTAACTGAGAAGAAATCAATTTGAGGATATATTTTACTAATGAGAAATTCTGTACCACCATCTATAATGAAAACTTAACTATGTCATAGCTGGGGCCGATTTGAGTTCTATGACTAGCACAGGTGACTCAGATTTATCAACATTGTCGATATTCAATGAGAATGGCTCAGCTCTGCCAGTGTTAACAAACTTAAAAAATATTCAGCCTTTTTGATTGATAAGATGTTCTAACAAGTGAATTTGCATATCGAAAAATAAAGAAAAATACCTACTCATTAGATGAAAATGAAACATGTATTTGGTGTTGATACTTTCGGCACTGGATAGACCAGAGCATTTTGAGTCTATCTAGATCATTTCTGTTTCATGCTAACTAATTTCTGACGAACTTTGCTGTTGGGTAATCCGGAGAATGACAAATGAAAAAGGTGTTTTTTGATGCCTGAATAAACGAAAAAAGATTTTACAAGGGGACATAAACCGTCTTTTCCGTATATGCCAAAGAAAATAAGCGGCTTTTCCGTTTATGATTTAGAAAAAAGTTTTATTAGGTATTTCAAAAACGGAAAAGAGTTTGTATCCCGTTGCAAACTCATCAACACTTATTTTTAAGGGTGTTCTTGTCCTTTAGGAGTCTGTTTGCTTAAGTCAGCGTTTCAGGTTCTCAAAATATAATTTATTGCTTGTTTTCGATACTATATGACAGAATAGTATGCGCCAGCTAAATTTTAAGTATTACAGGGTGTCCCAAAAGTCACCTACCAAAAAGAAAATTGTATATCTCCACTGTATTCTGACTAAATGAGCTGAGTTTTTTCCTGATGATAGAGAAAACTTCTAAGTTTTTATTCATCAGCAAAAAGTTGAATAGCATCGCTTAAAGATAGTATCATTCATTTAGAAGAGAAATAGTCACATTTCTGCCAAAGATAAACGATAGATTTGAGGTTTTTGTAATCTGATGCAAATTCTACATGTTCTTAGATTTTCTCAAATTTTTAATAATTTCTTTGAATCCTTGAGTTTTTGCCAGCCTATCTGACTTCTCACGAGCTTCACAAGATTCTCTCAACTGTTCTTGTCCAGAAAAGCCCTGGAAACACTTGCGACTACAGTTAACGTTTGATAAGGC